CCGGATCTTTAGAGAGAATTGTCTGTAATAAATGTTGTAGTAATGGTATTAATGAGGTCTTACCTTCTCCTTGATGAATTTACCCTTTATATAGTAGTTAACTGTTCTCGGGATCATAAATTTCTCTACGAGTAGCAAGTGCCCCGTAACCCTTGGTTCAATGTTCGACCCATCACGTAAATATGCTATCTGCCAAGCGTGTTCGTCAACCAATGCCGGGACCATTGCTCGAGGGCCGAGGTTGAGGGTTGAGGGGTTAAGTGGGTCGAGTGGGTCGAGGGGTTTGGGGGTCGAGTGGGTCGAGGGGTTTGAGGGTTGAGTGGTTAAGTGGGTCGAGTGGGTCGAGGGGTTTGGGGGTCGAGTGGGTCGAGGGGTTTGAGGGTTGAGTGGTGCTGGGCCGGATTATGTTGGGCCGAGTCGTGTTAGGCCGGATATAGTACTAATATCCATATCAAGAAGGGTGATTTTGTTGCATCTCAGTTGCTAAGCATAGAGAGCTACCTTTTAAAGGTGTTGCTAGTAACAAAGCATTAATTATTTTTCCAACTTTGTTTGTTTATCAATTAATGTTAAAAATAATTTTGAGTTATCAAAAAATAAAGATACAATTCATGAAATCGAGTATCTATTCTTTCTTTCAAGTCGAACATAATTTTTTTATATTTTTTTTTTATGGTTCGTCGTGTTAATACTCGAATTCAATTAGATCGTCGAGGTTCAAGCTCGACTCGTTAATATTAATTAAAGATCTGAACTCGAGCTCAGCTACTGGCTTGTTTTGTTAACGAGTCGATCTCCTCAACTCGTTAAAGGCTCGAGTTCTTGCTCGTTAGACTTAAAAAATAACGATTATTACATCACTTTTTATATTAAAAGTTCAGTTCGGCTTGTTGAGGTTCTTGACTTGTTAATGTTGATAAATGAATCGAGTCGATTAGTTAACGAGACAAGTTTACCTTAACTACATAAAAGCTCGAACTTAAGTTAATTTGAATGTGAAGATTTCGGTTTATTTGCAACTATGCACTCATTGATATAAGTTTATCCAATTATTCGGACACTCGATGTTCAATTTGCTGATCTAAAAGGATTATTTTTTTTCTTATCATTTTTCAATGGACGGACATTTAAACTTTGAAACAAGTATAAATAAGTTTAGTAATCGAAAATATATGTGATATTGAGATAAAACAATATCGAAACAAGATTAAAAACTGAAACTATATGTGACATTGAGATAAAAACAACCATATTCAAAGAAGCTTATCGAAACTAAATGCACCTATTGAATACCTAGCTAAACAAGTTTAAGAATCGAAACTATGAATCTCACTATTGAGATAATCGAAGCTATAAATCAAATAGATAAAACCGAATCTAAACAAGTTAGTTTAGCAATCGAAACTATATATCCCGCCTGTGTGTGGCATCGATTTTCCAGCATACGTCTTGACGAAGTCTTCTTTTTCTTCGCCATTTTTGAACCACACAATCTGAAAGATATTTATTTTGGCATTAGTTCGAAGGTTCTAACAAGCACCTGGAACTACAGAAACAGGGAAGATCTTTGTTTATTTGTTGCCTTAATTACGATTATTTTATATTCCATAAATAAGATATTCTGGATCTTATTATGGTGCTTTGATTTGTAGGAAATCGGATGAGATAATGAAGGAAGAGGCGTGTATGATAAAGAGATCAAGGAGAGAGAGAAGAAGATTCACTTACCATATTCTTATGCTATAAACAAGGAAGGAAATCAAGGTTGGAGTCCTATGCCTTGTAGAAGACTCCAACCCTAAGGAGATTCTTTTAAATACCCGTATGCAAGCTCTCATTGCGGCTGCTGAGTTTTGAAGATTTATAGAGCAATAATTGAGCTTCGTGTATTCTGTTTTTGTTGAGTTGTACACAGTTCAGTCTGAGAGTTCGAACTAGCTCAAGGACTGAAGCTGTTTTATTTTGTTCTTTGTGTTTCATCCAAAAACTATTTTACAGCTTATACACTTAGGGAGTAAGTGTAGGTTTTAAAAGTCCACGGGACGTGGCCGGAGAATTAGTTGATAGGATCTGAGTAGTGTTGGCTAGGCTTGAAGGGAGTTCGAGTCGTTGTAAGTCCAAGCTATGTGTATGGTTGATCTATCAATGAAAGAGCTCTGAGGGGAAGTGGGACGCTTCCCTGAAGAGTTTTAAAATCTTCGGTTTATTGCTTCCGCTTTTTACATTGTTTACTCACGTTCGTACTACACTTAGCGCACTCGCAAGTAATTATACGTTTCACAATCCCTTTCCTTTTGCCGCTCTCTTCATTGTGACTAACTTCTACCCCCATAATCTGATGGGCAAGAAAACACTTTACATATGTTAATTAATTGACCTTTTTTCTGTAAAAACAACTTAAGAAAAGACAATATTGCAAATTTAGGATACAGCTAAATATAATATTATTAATACTCAAAACAGTGTAATAAAAAAAAATGCCTTGAAATTTGTATTACAAAATAAAAGGGATTGACAAAAATAGGGAATTAAATTAAAAAAAAAAAAAATAATAATGTTACCTTTGATTTATGTTCATAGAAGCATTTGTAGTACAAATAGGCTTCACCCATCCATGGCTTCGTCAAGTTATTAACCTCGACACAGCATAATTTGTTCCCAAGCTTATCTGAAAATAATCAAAATCAAAGATGTTTTATTTAATTAAAAACATAATATGCACTATATATATCAAATTAAAAACAATTAAACCAATTCATATACCAATAGTTAAAAGCTAAACTGTCAACAAAAAATGACACTATATTTTAAAAAGTAATATTAATCAATGAATATATATATAAATAAATTAGAAAGCGTTATACTAATAAATTACCCGAGGGTTTCATCGAGTAAGGCGCCGGCCGGAAAATATCGATCCGAAAGCCCGAAAAGATCATGTCCCAAACATCGACCTCATAGAGCCTTGCCTCGTCCTCGGATCCCTCGCGGGCCGCCACCGTGATGTAATACACAAAGCCGGCCGCGCACCGCATGTTGAGGTTCACAATCTTCAAAAACTCGAGAGTACTCCCGAGGCTTTTCCGGTTGTGCTCCTCCACCGCATGCCTGGCGGCAGCCTCCGCCCTCTGGAAGACTCGGTCGTCGGAGCAAGGCTGGGTGCCTCCACAAAAGTCTGTGGGTAAAGGTATGGGTGTTACGTAGAAGCCCTCGCTAACGCCCAAGTCATAGGTGTACTCGTATAAGAAGTTGTCCGCCATTAACCGTCGCTAATTGTTTTTTTTTTTTTTTTTTTTTTCTTATGAGATAAATTTGGTGGGAAGAAAGATTAGTTGTGTGCAATATTGTGAGGATTAAAGTGGGGATTTTATATTATGAGATTCCTTGGGGAGGAAGAAATGTACCTTGCGTGAGACTGAGGTTTAGCGTGCAAGATTTTTGGTTAGAGAGGATTTTGAAACCGCCCACATTATGCCACATGGCACAATATGAATGGAATTGTTTTTTTACCATATAATTCATTCAAAATCAGTTTTTTCGGTTAACTAGAGTTAATTTTGAAAAATTTAGTATGGTTATCTTTTTACTGTAATTATAAAAGTGTATTAAAATAAAATTTCAAATAAAATGATTAAAATTGATTTGATGTAAAAGTAAGAAATAAATGATTAAAAATGAAAGGCAGTCAAAATTATATGAGTTGATGAATAGTGAATTAAAGTTAATGTGAAATGTAATAATGATTGTTTTGTATTATTTAATTATATGAATAATATTAAATACAGTGGTATGCAGTTAAAAATGAGTTAAATTTTGAGTATGAATTAAATGTGAGCCAAAAAAATTATTTGGTAAACAAACATGCTATTAATCTTTTGGAACTTGAAATGCACTTTTTTTGTATTTAATGTCTTCACCATGTGAACAACCAAATCACAACCATTGTGGTATAACTAGTGCGTACGTAGCCCGTGCAATGGACGAGACAATAATATTAAATAAGTTATTTTAACAAGATCTGTCCATTAATGTCTAAGATGCGCGAAACAAAGATATTAAATAAGTTATTTTCACAAGATCTGTCCATTAATGTCTAAGATGCGCTAGACAAAAATATTAAATTCATGTAATTAATTTTATGTTTTCTTTCTTCTTAATTTATTTTTTTTAATTAAATTAAAATCATGAATGCCCCATCACAAATGTTGTTTACTCCACATTATTGAATTTTCGATTTAATAAAAAAAACTTTTTGTAATTTTGTTCACTCCACATTATTGAATTTTCAATTCAATAAAAAACTTTTTGTTTTGCTCTGTAGGTAGGATCAAATCTACATAGTACGATTAAGTTAAAAAAAAAAAAAAATCTATATAGTATGACAAATTTTATATATGCTAAATATGAGTAATAAATAAGCAAAAGATGTATCCAAACATATCATCTAGTTTTTCAGCTATAAGTTCATAAGCTAAATTATAAGAGCGAAAGTTACTGATAAACTATAAACTAATTTATCAGCTATCAACTAGTTTTACCAAACATAGTCTTAATATCTTGTCAATTGTCTCGAGAAGTGCAACGACATTAATTTCAAATTAAAATTTGTGTCCATCTCAAACATAAAATTTATGTGGGATAATTGGACAAAATAATAAACAAAATAAAAAAAAAAAAAAAAAAAAACCTTGCACAAAAAAATGTTTAATTTCCCTCAATTGCCTACGAGACCTCCAATTTTGCAATTTCCTTATTTTTTTTTTCCGAAACGACAGAATTTATAGCTCAAAAACAATATGTATAGCTCAAAAACAATATTTTTTTTTTCCTTATTCACCCCATGAAGTTTTCACCCTATAGCCTATGGGAAGGGCACCCTATTATCAAAATAGACCGTGTTAAAGTGTCTTTTACCTCTTTTTGAAATTTATTAGGAAATTGAGGTCAAACATGGAAATTAATATAATAGGGACCTAGTAATTTTTTTTTTCTTATTTTTTTCCCCGAAAGAAATAGTGCATAAATTAAAGTCTTAATTTATTCTTACCAGTTGGATTGAAATTGCATTTCTATATATATATATTTTTTATTTACCATTTACCACAGCTGGGGCAAAATATGATTCCTATGGGTTAATTTAATATATTGGATCGTCCCCCTCCGGGGACGTGGTTATGGTTACAACATGATATCACTGGAGTGTCGTCGGGTCCTGACATAGCTGTGATATAGACTTTGCCTCCTTTCTTGTACCAAAAAAAAATATATATATATATTGCATTCAACTAATGACAATGTAATTCTACCTATTTTGTACTGTGATTGTTGAGATTATTGCTTTAACTCATTACAGTTTTTTGACCTTTTCATTTACACTTTGTTTCTTTTACTTTTCTCTTTTACATAAGTAATAATGATCGGTCATCATTAGATGACACGCTTCTAATTGTACTTATTTTGATTTCTCATATCAAAGACATTTTATAATATAATAAATATATATGTTATATATTAAAAATTATGATGAGCCCATCTACCTACAATTTAACTATTTCAATTTAATTTCATACTTATAATCTCAAATAAAATTATGTCTTACAATACTTCTCAAAAGTAGTTTGCCATTCAAAACACATTAATGCTACTATTACTCAGACTCAACTATAAGTAAGTCATATTTTTTCAATATATATGTTTATGTTTAAATTAATTTATATATCATAAAAAAAATTATCACGTGTATTTCATATATAATTTTCGTTACAAATGTACGGTGAAGTAACCGAATCACTACCTCACATGTAGGGTTGCAAATGAATCTAGCGGTTCACGAGCCGCTCGCGAGCGTTAGAGTCAAAACTCAACTCGAGGTCAAGTTTGACCGAACTCAAGCAGCTCGAGCACGAACTCGAATCAAGCTCGAGCTCATATTTTGCCTTTGTTGAGCGGCTCGTCGAGCGGCTCGAGATACATGCTAAATCACTATAAAATACCCTTTTTTATATATGTTAGCATATGTTCTTAATGGTAATTTTACCTTTCCACTTAAAAATTTTCGAGCCGAACTCGAGTCGAGCTCGAGCATTTTGATTTCGAGTCTCGGCTCGAGCTGTTGTAATTTTTTATCGAGTCGAGCTCGAGCCTAAAAAATCGAGCTCGACGTGCTCGAGCTCGAGCAGCTACAAAAAAAGTCAATCCTACTCGATAAGGCTAATGCTCGACTCGGGTGTTGTTGTTATTGTACTCGATAAGGCTAATGCTCGACTCGGCTCGACTTGTTTGCAGCCCTACTCAAATGACACAAGTATTTATAGAAACAAATAATAATAATTCGACCCATTTGTAAAATTACACGAGCCCCTACAAAATCCACTTGTCGGTCCGTTTTTACCTCTAATTAGGCTGTTATGTACATATGTTTATATATATATATATATATTTTCTTTCTATATTATACATAGTCCACTTATATATGAAGATATTTTTCTTCACCAAAAGCCGAAAATCCACGCTTTATTCTCTAATTCCACACAACTTTTAACACAAAATCAAACGAGACAAACTATAAACTCACTATGGTCTTTCTTTCTATACACACGTTCATACAAAAGAACACAACCACCATATATGTAAAACCACAAGTACAATTTTTCAAAGAAAAACAACTCATTACCCACTCCCCTGCCTATATATAACCTCACATGAAAGAACCAATTTCTTCACATAACAAAAATTTATAAGTTTTTTTTTTCAAGTTTCCAAAATATATCTAATTCGGAAAATTAATCGCTCGAAAATGGAGGGAAGCTGCGAAATGACCGTTATACCCACCATGGCTTCACCTTCTCTCTCGTCCTCTCCGCCTCCTCAAACTGCGGTTGCAAGTCCTTGTGCCGCTTGTAGGATTTTAAGGCGAAGGTGTGTCGAAAAATGCGTGTTGGCTCCTTATTTTCCGCCTAACGATCCACTCAAGTTCACCACGGCTCATCGTGTTTTTGGAGCCAGCAATATCATCAAGTTCTTGCAGGTATGTATGTGAATAATGCTACTAATTTGACTATATACTTCGAGCAATTATTATTATTATTTTCTTGAGAACCCTTTATTAGTCAAATTAAAGTTTGTGACTTTATAGTACATAGCAAATGAAGATAAAGAATGGAATATATGACTTTTTATATGACTAGTGTGAACACTTAGCTAGAGTAATGTAATAAAGGAAATAGCTAAAGGGAAAGGAACTAAAGTATTATAGTAGGTATATGTTGCAATTTACAACCACAAATTATAAGAAAATACTTTTTCTTCTTTGTGTAGTTGTTCTTTATATATATAATCTAATGTGGTCGAATAATCGATCATCAAGTAACTAACACCATCAATTTTATAAGGTTATTAAACTTCATTATCTTAATGAAAAATTGTAATTTAATTTCCTTACGGATCAAACCGAGCTTCCTAGATTTACTTTGGTCTAAATTCCTACATTTATGTTAGGAACTTCCCGAGACACAGAGAGCCGATGCAGTGAGTAGCCTAGTGTACGAGGCGAATGCAAGGCTAAGAGATCCCGTGTACGGATGTGCGGGTGCAATTTGCCAACTCCAAAAGCAAGTTGACGAGCTCCAGCTGCAACTTGCGCAAGCGCAAGCCGAGATTCTCAACATGCAATGCCAAAACGCCAATCTCAATATGGCCATAATCTACATGGAAATGTCGCGGTATTCACGCCCGATTTCACCAGAAGATGATGACCAATGCTCTATCAATAACTTTCTCAACGAAAACAGTGGTCTTGGACTTCTCTACGATCGTACTCTCTGGACGTGATTTGACTCGGATCCTAGTAGAATTGAGATTAATATATAGAAGATATATTGAGTCATTAAAAAAAACATTTGGTCCTATTCAAATGTAGTATAGGATGTAATACTATGTTGAGGGAATATGATTATATTAAATTGAGTTCTCCCTAATGACTATGATTATTGATAAGATGCATGAAGTTGACTAGTCTTTTCCCCCTTTTTATCATTTGAGAAGGAGAAATGTCATTGTCCAAGTCCCATTCATGTCTCAATTTGTTCAACTTTGTGGTTACCTAATGCTTTTTACTTTCAATTCATGACAATGATGATTATTCCCAGCTAAAGAGTACCTAATGTGAACAGAGGATCCTGAAATTAGCCTAATGTTCCATTTTTAAATTATTAATTTATTTTTGCTGGGTCAAAATTAATTTGCATTGGTCTCGCTCTGCAGCTAGTTAAAATTTTGCAAGTTCAACAAGCAAAACTTCATGACACAAGCATTTTCCATGACTAGTGATTTTCTCCCGATGAAAAACTCTAATTATGTTGATCACGTAATATAAATTCGAGCTTCGTGTATGATATGGTCCAAGATACGAACTCCGGTCTTTCGAAGGACTCTTCCCGGTTACGACGTTGGTTTACCCAATTCGGTTCGGCCCAAGCTTGAGTGTTCGTCGGTACCTGAAAGCGCACCGGAATTCCTCCGGCGCAAGACCCTCCGACGCCCAAGTTAGAATCTCGGATTTTAGAGAGGATTGTCTGTAATAAATGTGGTAGTAATGATATTAATGAAGTCTTACCTTCTACTCTAGCATTTATCGTATATATAGTGCTTAGTTGTACGGACTGTATGGTAATTGGCGTTACTAAGGGTCGAATCTGAGTTGGCGTTCGACCCTCTCTCACGGGTCGATCTCCCATGGGTCGACGCCTTATTGGTCGACTTCATGCGGGGTCGACACCCCTCTAGCCTTTCGCTCGAGCAAGTAGCTGGCCGAACCCCCCATCGACCTGACATCTATGGGTCGATCATGTAGCCTTCGCATGGCCTGAACCTATAGCCGGTCGATCACGTAGTCCTCATGTGGCTCGACCATGCAATTGGTCGAGCATGTAGCCGGTCGATCTTTCGGCTTACTCAGTGGGCTAGTGGGTCGAGCCCCCACATGGGTCGAGGGGTCGAGCCCCTACGCGGGTTGGTGGGTCGAGCCCCTACATGGGTCGAGTCTCCATGCTCGTAGACCCTATTTCCTCCGCTACCACTCCGGTTTGCTTAACTCGATTTTATGGGTCTTTGCTCGACCGAACCGGGCCGATTCTATAATCCCTATCAGTGTAGATACTGCAAATGCACATCAACCTTAAGGCAACGAACACTATTCAAGCGTGAAATCTCAAGCCTTGAAGTCGTGGGCTTGATGGTTGAGATTATTTCAGTCCAAGGTCGCTTTTGACACTCGAGGTTTTAACTCAATCGATATTAGTGCGGACATTTAGAACATTGATCACTTATAGTAAAAAAAAATGTTAAAAACAAAGTCAAGTTTCTGCAGCCCCGTCGTTGTTGTTGTACTTGGTAACGAATTTCAACAAATTGTATATCATTTTTGAAGTTCTCGACTCGATCTATCTAATCTAACGATACACTCAGTTTCATCAGATAAACCAGTCTTTATCAACATCATCGTTAAATTCTCTAAATGTTTCGGTTGTCCGATCACATTAAATCAAACTTTAAAGCATATTTCAGGAAAAAAAAAAATGAAAACTTCAACAATGATTTTGATGAAATTTGAGGTAGCAAATGATAAAATTTTGATAGGTCGAGTCGAGAATTTCATCCACCAACGGCAGCGGAAGCTCCGAAAGGCAACCACCTTCTTGTTATTAACTATTTTTTAGATTTAAAAAATAATAATTAATTATTAAAACATTGAACCAAAATTAATTAAGTTGGAATACAAACTCGATTATTGATTTTATGATTTTATCCATAGTAAAAGTAGAGGCATTTTACTATTTTAGCCAACATAAAATTGGAAGAGAGAAGGTGCAAAATAAATCCAATATCATTAATTCACCCCAAGAATAAAAAAAAAATACAAATTAATCAGTTCATTTCACATTTTTCCAACACAATGTTCAAATTAAAACACCATAAACTCATAGATAAAATTTACTATTTACCGTTGACATTTTCATACAGTTAAATATTATAAATAATATCATATTATTTAAAAAAATATTAGTGAATTTTCACCCCGTTTTGAAGTGTTGTTAAGTTTTTCACACCGCCAAATAAAAAGCTAAGCTTTTCACCTCGGAAAGTGCGAAGGTTATGCGAAAACTGTCGCATATTCATCGCATAACTGTCCATATACGAAGGTTATGCGAAAAACTGTCGCATATCAATTACATAATTGTGCGCAATGTTTTAAAAACCGTACCGGTCATCATACCGGTGTAGCGACCGGTATGCGGTATTACCGGTACGACCGGTATTACCGTCTATTTTACCGGTTTAATAAATATTAAATTAATTTGTTATTATTATATAAATAATATACAAAACTAATTTTAATTAATATTAAAATAAATTAACATCTAATAACAATATAAACATATTAAAGTTAAGTGTAGAAATTTCAATTTATATAAATAAAATATAAAAAACTATTAAAAATATTTTTTTTAAAAAAAAATGGCATAAACCGGTATTTTGACCGGTATTTTGGCCGGTATTTGCCGGTAAAACCGGTATTTTCCAGTACGAAACCGGTATTTTGGCCAAAACGGTATTTTGAGTGTAAATGTACCGGTCGGACCACCGGTATCCGGTATTACCGGTAATACCGGCCGGTACGAACAGGTATTTAAAACATGGACTGTGCGAAGGTTATGCGAAAATTGTCGCATATTCATCGTATAAAATTTTCGCATATTCATCGTATAACTGTCCATATGCGAAAGTTATGCGAAAAACTGTCGCATAATTGTCGCATATCAATTGCATAACTGTGCGAAGGCATTGTGCTATGAATGTGCGACAGTTATGCAATTGATATGCGACAGTTATGCGACAGTTTTTCGCATAACCTTCGCATACGGACAGTTATGCGATAGTTTTCGTGTAACCTTAGTACTTTCTAGGGTGAAAAACTTAGCTTTTTATAAACTGTGTGAAAAACTTAATTTGTCTTTGTATGGGTAAAAAAAATTTTTTTTTTCCAAAATATTAAGTATTCTCTTACTATTCTTTATTTCTTTATATAAAAAAATATATATGCTCACTTTTATGAATACGGACATTATGTCGTAATTTATAACCGTTAAATCAACTATCTATGACGATCTAACCGTTCAAATCTGATGGAATGGTTCAAACCTGATGAAATGGTTCCGTAATGGGACCGCAGCATTTCCCAAATTTACGATTCAAAATCCAAATGCACCAAAATAACGCAACAGGCAACCCCTACGACTCAGATTTTTCTGGTGTTCCTCACATAATTCACAAATAACCCTTTTTAGATCAGCTCACTCACCTGACCACCGGAGAGAGAGAGAGAGAGAGAGAGAGA